GCAAATAATCGAAAATCACTTATAAACCACATACTTCGAAAAAACTTGAGATCTGCTACACAACTCAGTGTTTTTTATTAAGAGGTTAAAGCTTTCCCATTTTCCACAGCTTTTGAAAAAATGAATGTGGGATTATTTATTCATATCTTACCCTGCACTGTAGCTTTGCTGTCATTTGAATTATAATGTTTAATCTATTTTATTTTAGATTTTTTGTCTCTTCATTCATTCATTTTGATTTACACTCTTTAAATGCTTTTTATGTTCAAGGATCAAGGCTTTTATTAGTCATACGTACATAGCTACGGTGTAGTTATGACGATGGAAATCTTAGGTCCCAGGCTCCTCCAACAGTGCAACACAATAAAACAGAAAAAATAATGCAAGTAAATACAAAAAGAAAATAGTGAAATAGTGCAATAAGAGTCTATATACAAGTGATTGGAATATGATATATTAGATAAATAATTTGTAAGTTGCAGCCAGATGAATGTTATGGATGTTGTTTCAATGTGTTTCTCTATATATAGTCTTGTGCATATATTGTCTTAATGGTTTCATATGTATGGAAAGCACTTAGTATTGCCTTGTTGTTAAAAGACACTCAAAGAAACTTGCCTGCTTTAACTAATAGAATTTTAAAGCACAAGTCTACAATAAATTCAGCTCCATATTCATTGATAAATTAAAGCTTGGCATATTGTAAACTATACAAGCAAGCCTAACTGCAACCTGAAAAGCATGCACAACGGGAACCGTTATATCACTGGTTAAATTAAAATGCCAATCAAACATCAAAGGACAGCGGAGAATGTGGATGTCCTGGCTTCAACATGAGCAGAGAACCGCAGTGACGCGTCCTAAAACCCGGAAGTAAGTTAGCATTTTTACCACGTCCGGTTCCTTCGATAAAAAGCAATGCAATTTCTCCATAGGATTTTGGAAAATAGCTCCAAATAAGGTCTGTGTTTGACACAAATTGAAGAGACAGATCACGTTTTGTTCTACGACATTAAAGGTGGGGTAGGTAAGTTTGAGAAACCGGCTCGAGATACACTTTTTGTTATATTCCATGGAATGCTCTTAACATCCCGATAAGAATGGATATCTTAAGTGCTTTGACAAAAAATCCATAAAAAAAATTCATCTGTGGAAGCCGTAGTACTGTGAAAAGCACGACCAATCATCTGAGCCGGCCCGGCTAAAATAACTGGATGGCCTACCTGCCTGTCAGCCTTCCATCTGTGCACAAACTTATCTCGTGCCCTCATTGGTCATGTGTGCGTTCGTGTGTTGGAGGAGGGGCTCTGTAAGAAAGTATAGCAGATTTTTTCCGGTTGTGTATTTTCAAATTCTAGCGCACTCGAGCTGGTTTCTCCAAAATTACCTACCCCACCTTTAACTGTAACTTTGTACTTTGCCTGAATTACCCTCTTCCTTTAATCCCAAGTGATCAAGTTCATATTGGATGACTTCACACCTCCAACTAATGTCGACATAGGAAGTAGTGTGCACCCTTCAGTGCATCTCACCAAAGGTCAGCAGACCACAATGTATGCCTTGATGCACTCCTAAAATAAACATATTTATTCAAACGTATTTAATGTGACCCTAATCTCTCCCTAACCTTAAAGGTGGGGTAGGTACGTTTGAGAAACCGGCTCGAGATACACTTTTTGTTATATTCTATGGAATGCTCTTAACATCCCGATAGCAATGAATATCTTAAGTGCTTTGACAAAAAATCCATACAAAAAATGTCATCTGTGGAAGCCGTAGTACTGTAAAAACCACGACCAATCATTTTAGCCGTGCGCGTTCGTGTGTGTTGGGGGAGGGGCTCTGTAAGGAAGTGGCAGATTTGTTCCGGTTGTGTATTTTTTAAATCTAGCGCACTCGAGCTGGTTTCTCCAAAATGACCTACCCCACTTTTAAATACATCAGCAGTGACCCCGCTGGTGATTTTTGAAGAGTTTACGTGTCTGAAAAACGATGTTTGTTAACAAGTGGCTGAATAGGACTACAGAAGTTGTCCAGTTGAAAAAACCCTCAGCTCCGAGCTCGGCAGAATCTGCACCTGGCTCACCGATAATAAATTATCATTACACCTGGGTAAAACAGAGTCCATTCTCTTCGGTTCGAAACATAATCTCAGCAAATCCGACGACTTCTCAGTTGCAGTGGGCGACATTATTGTCACAAGTAAGAAGGAAATTACATACCTAGGATCTATTCTTGAGGTAAACCTCTCCTGTGACAAAATGGCATCCAATGTAATAAAAAAAGTCAATCAAAGAACTAGATTCCTATACCGGATCTCCTCTCTGGTAAACAAAAACACCCTGAAAACTCTGGCAGGAGCACTCATTCAAGGGTACTATGACTATGCTTGCACGTCATGGTACCATAGCACCTCCAAGGCGCTAAAAATAAAACTTCAAACATCGCAAAATAAACTGGTCAGACTACTGCTTGACCTTTCATCTAGAACCCACCTCACCTCTGCCCACTTTGACAACCTAGGATGGCTTAGAGTAGACGACAGAGTACAGCTACTTGCAATGGGCCTGGTCTACAAGATCCACTACACCTCTATGGTACCCATGTACATGTCAAAATTCTTCCCAAAGGTCAAGGAATATCATGATCATAACACCAGAGGGAGCTCCACAAATCATGTGAAACCCAGATTTGGCACAAAAAAGGGGGAATATACGTTTCGCAATTATGCCACATCAAGGTGGAACGCTCTTCCCACAACTGTAAAGGAAAGTAAAACTATACTTACCTTCAAAACCTCTCTTAAAGAGCACCTTCGGGGGAGAGCATTGCAAAACTGGCCCCGGTAATGGTACAAATCTCAACCTGTCGTTCAATGGACAGCTTCCCCCCCCCATCTATGTATATACTCGCATTTTAGACTCTGTTACTAACTGTATATCTGTAGACTTGGTATGTCTTAAATGTCCGGTTAGGATGTATTAGAACGAAATCTAAAATGAAAACTGTAAATAAGCAATCTGTATGTAAAAAAACCACCTGTATGTCAATTGTAAATAAGCCATCTGTATGTCAAATATGTCTTATATGTCTTAAATGACATGATGAATTGGAAATGGGGGACCCTGATGTAAACAAGACGAAAGTCTTTCTCTGGTCTGCATCCCCTTAACAATTGTATGTTTTGAGCTGTACTGTACTGTACCCAAGCTGTTAATAAACTTTTCAATCAATTAATCAATCAGGCCGTTTTACGTGATTACACCGAACACGTAAAACACTCCCGCTAAGTTTGTTTGCCCTGTTCTGCTTGAAAGCAAGTACATGCCTCCTGCAAACTGTTCAAACAAACACTTCAACTTGTACCATTTACAATCTGTATGTTTGAATATGGATCTTAAATTGGCGTGACGTGGAAGCAGCGACCCTGCTGTAGTTCCTTTATAGCATAACGTTAGCATTTTGCTTCTTGTGACTAGATTTATGCTTCGAAAATTATAAAAGTAGGGTAGACATGTGGATATTATCCGGCTGAACAAAACGTGATCCGTCTCTTAAATGTGTGTCAACCACAGACCTTATTTCGAGCTATTTTCCAAAATCCTATGGAGAAATTGCATTGCGTTTTTGACGAAGGAACCGGAAGGAGTTTACATCCGGGTTTTAGGACGCGTCACTGCGGTTCTCTCAGCTGCGGTGTTTCACTCCCTCTGTTGGTTAGCAATTGAAATGCGAAAGTGTATTTTGTTTCAAAATTTGCGTAAAAAATGTTAAAGCACATTTGGCATCATATCAAGCTAATGTTATCGTGTTGAAAACTGAGAGTGGACTCGAGTTGTAACATGTCAAACACATGTTTAAGGTGTCAACTTATTTCTAAGTTGAGTCATTCTTAAAAAAAGTTACCACAGTAATTGTCCTTTGCCATATTTATTGCCAATATTGCAGATGGAATCATGACTAATCAGTTACCCACATAATTGTTATCTGCTTTAGAAATATGAAAACGACTCTCTTTTTAGCTAACACCCTTCATTGACCTACCTTTGTTTTCCCCGCAGATCCTATTATAGAAACACTGTTGCTGACGTACCGTGCCGTGTCTATCCTTCCCTTGCAATGACACAAACAAAAGAGAAAACATACCTTTAGTGTTAGTCAGGATTATAATATGATGCTACGCTGAGAAAGTCATTTTGGGAAGAAACACCTCGTGTCAGGAACATTTAGTCTATTTGAAATTAATGTGTGTGTTTTTGCTTTCTCTTTCAAACGTGTTTGTGTTGTGTTACTGATGATTGTATTCGAAAATGTGTAGGCCAATGTATGTTTATAAGTAGATACATATGTATGATGTACAACCATGTATAGATACATTTCATTTTTTGTAATAATGGCAATTCTGCTTCTATTAAGTTGTTAATTGTGAGCATGAATGTCTATAAACTCTTTAACAAAAAAAGAAATACAAAATGGTGCGGTTGTGTAGTAATTATCTGGATAATAGCAGCAGGGTTGTGCTCTAAATGAGACCCAATAATTTCCTGTCATTTGATAAAATCAATACTTTCCTACTCAGCAGCAGTAATGCCCATTTAACATGAATACCAGTTCCATGGCACAGCCTAGTGTCCTTAAGTGGTACTGCAGGCTCCATTATAGAGTGAAACAAAGAAAACTCATTACAATTAAGGAGTTGTAAACGTTTTACGCTAACGCTATATTACAATTTATTTAGCTAACGATTTTAAGCGACGTACTTACATTTCCATAACGTAGAAATGCCTACTGGAGCAATTTGGGTTTAGTGCCCAAGAACACCTCATTATGTTGACTTCAGGGGCTGGAAAGCGAATTACTGACACTGAGAAGTCAATACGTCTTTTTGTCTTTATAAATAACAACAGAAACTTGACCTACCCGTTATGTTATCTTATTTATCAAGTTTGTAAAGAAACCCTCGTCACAGTCCATGGTCACGTGATTCAGGCGTAACTGCGTCAAGGCGTATCCTGAACAGGTGGAATTAAACCCGGAAGTGAGATGCTCGTCACAAAGATGGTGTCCTCCTCTGCGTAATGCCAGATAAACAAAAGAATATGAGAAAAAAATCACATAATGTCTCAGCGACTAGATGAAATGTTTGGTCTTTGAATGTCTGGTCACTGCTGATAAATAATAAACAGCCTCTGACTGCACCATGGATATGAACAGAGCCTACGGAGGCTCCTATACGGTGAGACCTGTTTACTTTTTAAGGGTTTTGTAATACTTGTAATACTAATTTACTTTCTCCCAATGATGGGTGTTGAAAAAAACGTACATGGCTGTGTATGTACATTATTTGCCTTTTCACGCCTAATGTTTTTTGCATATTGTAGACAACGAGATACCCTAACGTCGCTGTATGTTAGAAGCCGGTAGAAAGTGAAAACATAATTTTAGTAACAGTAAAGCTCAAATTAAGTTGTACGTATAGTTTGTACAACTGTATGCAACATAACCTAATGTATTTCATGTTTTTGTTCCTTAGGATAATCTTATTGGGACTTTACTTGCCATTTTTGGAAATGTGCTTGTCAGCATCTCCCTCAGTATTCAGGTACAGGCCTCTGTTCAAACATTTCTCTTAAAGTGTTTACTATGCCATCCTAGCAAACTGTAATATTAAAGTGAATATCTACCTTCAGGGAGCACTATTAACTTCTTGTCCACCGGCCAAATGGCTACTCAATGTTGCAGTTTTACCAGCTACACAAATTATTAGATAATATTGCTTGTCAGTGATACACATCTAGCAGCTGCTTGCACATTTAACCAGTATTTGGACAGAATATGGTGCTACTTTGGTGCAGGTCTCTTATATGGAACAGTTTAGTTAATCTAACTTCTGTGTGTCAGGTCCTCTGATGTCCACATAACAATAACCCTCTCAAAAAGCTGCTATATAGTATTATCAACCTTTAATTGAAACTTATATGGAAGCAATCATATACAATTATCAATGTTTAACACATTGAGTTGGTCCCTGATAGATTGACAATCCTATTTGTTCTAATTTGTACTATCTCTAATGCTAAACCATTTTGCCTTGAGTGTTTGGTTTAAGTCTCCTCTACATGTTTGCCTTGTCTTAACTTAGTAAACGGAACTTTACCCTGCACGCCTTTCACTCTCAGAAATATAGCCATGTGACGTTGGCAGGAACCAAGGACCTGCGTGCCTTCTACCACACCAAAACCTGGTGGTGTGGTTTTGTACTGACATGCCTCGGGGAAGGAGCCAACTTCATTTCTTATGCCTTCGCCCCCCTCGCACTGGTAGCACCTCTAAACGCTGTGTCAGTACTTAGTAAGTATTTGTTTTACTTATATTTTAGTAGTAAATGTTCTGCTTATTGTTATCTGCCAGAGAAATTAATAAAAGCAGTCTCAAATGCATGCATAAATTAAAAGGGAAATATTTATTAACCTCCTCCTTTTCTTCTCAGCAAGCTCAATTTTGGGCCTTATTTTCCTGCGTGAGAAATCCAAGCCAAAGGACTTTGCAAGTAAGCTCAGCAAATGTGTGTTAGTGAAGATACATACATGCAAATAACATGGAATGTGTGCCAATGCATTTAAATGTTCAATTCGCCTCATGCCAAACTTGACTAACAAGATACTGCCTGATAAGCTGCTAAAGTTTAATGACGGAAGTAACAAAGTCAAAAGATGTTTATGTACAGGACATATTTTGTTGAAAATATAGTTTTGTGAGTGAAAATGTAAAAAATAATTGTCTAATTAGAGTTCAATGTTGTGTATAAATGTCTATTCCATGTTCATTCATAGTAAATGTCCTAACACTGTTATGTTATTCCAGAGCGCTATGGGCTGTCCTTCCTGGGCTGTCTCCTAACTATAGGAGGAACATATCTATTTGTAGCATTTGGACCAAACTCTCATGAAAAACTCAAAGCAGAGAACATTGTGAATCACCTTGTAGGATGGCCTGTTCTCTTGTATCTGGTAAGACATTTTAATTACATTTTTTAAGTTGAAAAAGTACAGGGGTCCATCTACAGTTGACTCAATTGGCCTCAGACATATGTGTCTCTACAATTTGCCAAATTCAGGTTGTAATTTACATACCAGGAAGTTGGGCAATGAAGAGTCACACGTGAGTCATTAAGGTTAGGGTTATTTCATAGAAACATCTCACGGAGGTATTAAGAGGATATTCACTCCTGTATTGTCACAAACACTGCATACTTATTTAATGTTCCAAGTGGTAATAGCCTCTTAAGTCATAAATACATCCTTTTAAGCCAAACACAGTGGACAACAGTGTTAGCAAAATGGAACAGTATGTCCAAGTAGTTAACACTGGATGAGAGACAAACGGAGGGATACTTTCTTTAAAACACTACAAGCGGCAGCAACAAATATACTCTTCCATATTATGGTATTAAACAAATGTCCCAGCTCCCTCTACCGTTGTTGTTGTTATGTAGCACAAAGATTTGTTTCTAGCTGTGATCCACAAAGGACTGCAGAGCTTCCTGTTCCATGTTTATTTGCTGTTAATTTCCTGTTTATTGTTTCTAACCCCCTCATTGACAGCTCCTGGAGATCATCACGTTCTGCCTGCTTTTATACTTCTACAAACAGCGCAATGCTAACTCCCTCATTAATATTCTGATGCTGGTCGCTCTATTGGGTGAGTGTCTCTCATTAAAGCCTGTCAATTTAATACCGCCACGCTGTTTACCATATTTCATTACAATATTAGAATCACAATTCCCTCATGGTTAATGTTTGAAATGCATTTGAGCTTTTGTGAAAAAAATGTTGGTTTGTTTTGTATTTAATTGTGCCGTTCTTTCTACCTTTTATGCACAGGCTCGGTCACAGTCATCACAGTGAAGGCGGTGTCAGGCATGTTGGTTCTCACATTCGAGGGCACCATGCAGCTGGACTACCCGATCTTTAGTGTCATGTTTGTGTGTATGGTGGCTTCAGTGGTCTTCCAGGCTAGGTGAGTGAACATCACAGATAAAGAGTTTACTGAGTCTGAGGTTGTGTTTTTCATAACAGATGTTATAGTTTAACTTTAGGTGATCAGAACTAAGTGAAGGTCTTTCAATAGGTTTTATTAAATCAATGCTGATTTTATATTTTGTTGTCTTCTATTGCCTTTTTTAGTTTCCTCTCCCAAGCTTGTAAGCTGCATGACTCCTCTCTGATCGCCAGTTTCAACTACATCCTCTCTACCGTCTTGGCTGTGGTAGCTGGTGAGTTATTATCCACAGCTAATAATCTGTTTTGACTGGAAGCTTTAAATCTGACGGTTATTGACCGGTGTTTGCATATTACTGCCTGACACACACAAACAAATGCAACGCCCTGGAGCCTGGCGAAACGGGTCGTATCCGCTAGAGTTCTCTATATTATATCTGCTCTCTGATAACACAGAGAGTTGCAAGCAGCTATTGTCTGAGATCGCATGATGTAGTATTGTTAGATGTGCCAAGAGCAAGGACTGTCTTAGGTAAGACAGCTTTTATGTGCGCAGCTCCATTTGCTTGGAACTGAGCAATCTCATTCCTCTGCATGTTTTTAAAGCTAGGCTAAATGAAATGCTCGTTGATACTATGGCCACTTGTAAATGTCTATAACTATGTAAATGTATCCTGTAAATATAATGTATAATGTCCTTTATTGTTTTATGTTTCATGTGGAACCTATATGCTGCAGGGCTCCCTTGAAAAAGAGGTCTATGATCTCAATGGGACCAATCTGGTTAAATAAAGGTTTGAAATGAAATCATATAGACGTGGCCGACACGGAAACGCAGATAACGATAACGGGTCCCAAGGTGGGTAGATCTGCGGACGCAATGGCTCTGTGATTACGCTCAATACGATCATTTCCTGATAACGAAAATACTAACGGGCTGTCTTCTTATATTATTATATAGAGTCGTTATTCATTTGTTTTAAAGCTCAATAAATAACAAAGAAGACCTTTGACCGGCACTTTTATAATTTTGTCTGGAAGATTTAAACTTTAGCGGACATGTTGACCGGAAACTCTGCCGCACGGTTCCCTCGTCCCTTGGAAGAGGCGGAGAGGTGGGTGTTTTTCATCTGCTGGTGGGCTACCGGGGAGATATACAGCAGGAGCACACGCTTGCCTCGGGGAGGGAGAAAAAGAGCCAGAGCCCTGGCCCCTGCCTCTCCCCACCTCGGCTGCGAAATCCACTTCGGAGAATAAACAGAAGGGCAACCATGCATGCTCGTGAAGTATTCTTCGCTGCTTTTGGTGTATTTTGTGGCGGAAGTACAGCGCCACTTACAGGCCCGGCATATGTACTACAGCGTCTCCAGCGGGTCGAGCGGTCTCGTGTGGACGGAAGACTTTTTTGATATCGAATTCGGTTCGTTTTCGTTACCGTCTCCGTTCTGATTTGCAATGTTTTCCTGCTTAACCCCATTAGAGTCAACAAATATTCTTCTGTTTTTTTCAGGTGCTGTGTTCTACCTAGAGTTCAATAAAGAAGACATCCTTCACATCTGCATGTTTTTGTTGGGGTGAGTAATCGTCCATCATAGGTCTTTCTGACAGACATTTTGAAATGTCACAGTAGGTCAAGCACACTTTTTAATAATAAAGGAAAATGATGGCTGGATTCAATTTAACTCCTTTAGTTTCCTGGTATTGTGCATGCTGAAACCATCTTGTAGTAGTAACACCTGTGCTTTTCCTACTACATGTTAAAATGTCTGCTCCGTGAAAGGCCTGTGAAGTTATTTTTAATGGTATAGACAAATATCCAAGAAAACAGACATTTGATGTAATTCAATTATGGGTGACTTGCATTAAAGAATTGTACACATATTTTGTGCTTTCTACAGATCTGCATTCTGTTTCCTTGGAGTGTTTCTCATCACCAAAAACAGGAAAAAGACAAAGAACTTTGAGCCATATGTGACTATGAACATGGTTAATGGTTTGTATACAATTTTACTTAAATAATAGAAAATTGTAAATATTGATATTTAAAGATTTGTACAAATTGACTGTTTACTGATTTCTACTATAGCCTGGCATACTTGTTAACACTTCCCAAAAGTTCCATTGCAAGTTCATCATTCAGTGTCTTTATTTTAACTACAATGTCCTTACTTGAAACTTATCCTACCTTACCTCCCATCATCAGGAGTCCCAACTATTCATGACAAAGGCCTGGTTGTTCAGCCAGACTCCAGTGGCTCTTTCTCCTATGGAGCCCTGGTCAACAATGATGGAGCTGCTCCTGCTACACATTCGGTCAACCTGGAACTAACACCGGCCCGCTCCAGGTCCACTGAAGCATCTCATGGCCAGCCAGACCTAAAGAGAGATTAAGACAGAGTATTTTCCCCTTCATTCAACAAAAAGACAACATACAAGGAGCTTGGAAGGCCATGATGGGTATGTTCAGCTCTTTTCACATGTACTCTGGGCCAACCTCCAGCCCAGTAGAGGGTGTTAACTGGGTGCCTTACACTCCCATTCACATGCTTTGCTTTCTATAATCTCTTCACCAAAACCTGACCATAAGTAGCATTCCTTTTTGAGAAGATGTCGGCTGTTATCATTCCAAAATGAAGAGAGGAAACCTGAAGCTGCTGGATGTTTTATTGGATTCACAGCAGAGCAGATGTTGTGCCTTGGAGCTTACTGCCTTCACCGTGTTAGAATGGAGATCTAACGACTCACTCCCATGACTGTTAAGCTATTCTTCGCTCATTAATGACGACATTAAGGGGTCTGTTCCTCCATTGTGGGTTTTGAAGTTACTCCTCAACATTATAAAATATAGCTGCAGACTTGCCAATTAACTTTTTGACCTTAAATATCTGCATCTAACTTTTTATTATGTGAGCGGTTTTTACTCCGCAATGTTGCCTCCTGTTGTAGGAATTTCATTGTATTACTACTTTCCTGATGTGACCAAACAATGGGGGCACATTTTCTAATTTATTATAATGTATTTATCTATTGAAGTTAGCTCTTAGTGTGCCTTAACAAGTCGCAGTACTCTGGAAGTTACTGTAATAACTGAGGTGTTACATGACCCAGGAGGGTAATTCAAGCATTACTGTAGCAGTTTAGTTGTAAACAAAAAGCTACTGTATTCTGTGTATTGAAATCTGAAACCATTGAAAAGAAGGTGGTCACTCAAAAAGAAGGGAATTCAATCATACAAGCCTCTTGAAATTACTGATGAACTGTACAACTATTTAAATGTGAACTGTAAGTTTAAGGTTGGGTAGTCTACTGTTTGTGTACATTTTGAAAATAATTTTGCTGTCCTTTTTAACCTGATAACCTTGAAGTTTATGATGACAAACAAATCAAGAAATAAAAGTTAACATTTGCATATACATTTTGTTAATTATGTTTTAGGAAATGTAACCTTCCATCAAAATGTTACAAAGATAATTCTGCGGTTTGTGAATCATCATTTATTATTAAACTTGACAAAAAAAACACTCCATAATGATTGGATAGACTCCTCTACATACTGTATGTACTGCATTTCTGCACTGTTAAAAAAGAAGAACCTTTCCACAGTATTCATCATGTAGTAATTGTAGTTATGTCGCTTGTGGTTTGTTGTGTGTGCAAAAAGTCATTACATCCCTGTATAAACCAGCCAGTCTTAACAAAACTGCCGTTAATGGAACCTAAACTGTCCAGTCAAATGTCTAGCTTTTTTTCCTTGTGAATGAAATGCAATGTTGTGTCAAACTTAATGCAACCTAATTCTGATATACTATATATCAAAAGTTTTAACTCTGAGAATTGATGAAAAAACAACGTTTTCTCAGTTTTAATCAATGTAAATAATACTAACTAACTAACTTACCATATACTGCCCATCTTTTCTGTCCGAACTGATGATTGATTTAACGATAAATGAAAAACAAAAATATATAACTCACTGCATTGTCAGACAACAGTCATAAACTGTGTCATAGCACACTGTATCAATCTGCCAGAAAGATAACCTTTCAGAGATGTAAAGAGATAACATTCACCTTAGAAAATTGCACTACAGCATTCTTTTGAAGTTATAATCATCAATTCTGCAATTTGGTGTGTGAAAAAACCTACTGACCTACCTGGCTACTTTTGACATGCTGTTGCTTCACGTTGCTTGAAAAAAAAACTGAAACACTTGCAGAACAATTGAAGTACCTTATTTTGTGTAGGCCTATGAATGCAACAGGTGGTGTATCAGATATTTTAACTTGAATCTAACTAGAAGTATAACAATGTGAGTAACTCGTGTTTACTCACTTTATGTTGTGATTGACCCACTTTTGGATGCTTGTCCTTGTCAGATTAAAGCATAGTTTCCCAGCAGAAACCTATGTGACACTTCTCTGCTCAGTCGCCACCAATCTTGAAGCGGAGCATCCTCCCCTGCTGCAGTCTCATTGGTCGCTAGGTTCCTCCGGCGGCCTTTGATTGGTCTCACCTGCGGGTCCTGACGCCGGAGTAGGCTGCATCAAATAGTAGTCAAATAATCCAGTAATAAACAACGACGGGTCTGATTGACAGAGGTTTAAAAATATCACAGCAGCTTTAATCTGTTTGACAAAGTCACCAGAAAATATAGCTGTCAGTGCACGTGCAATGGGTCGTTCCGGCCGCTTTCCCTGACAGCAGTGAGGTGAGTACCACAGACACTAATGTTCGTAATTAAACCGGTTGGAAAGGAAAATTAAAGCAGTAACTTCGCTCGTTAGCTTGTAACCATGAGTCTGTGCTAACTTTCGTATGATTTCCCTCGTCGTTGTAGTTTAAACCAGCATTTAGCATGGGAAACAAAGTGTTTGTGTGAGATATTACGTTACTTTTAAGTGCTAAACCCGCGTGCAACACTTCATTAACACGCTCCCTTGATGTGAGAGCCAGGGGTTTGTTTTGAATGCACGCGACGCAAATGTTGATGTCATAGTTATCTACGGCCATTTATTCTGAGGACATGTGATGTTGTTGTTTTAGCGTGCTCCATTTCCACGTTATTGTAATGAGATAGATGACACTAGTGTGCAGTTTTGGCTGTAATTTAAATATCAATGCCTTATTTCTCCTAATCTATTTGAAATAAGGTCGATTTTCTAACGGTGTTGTGATTAAATTATTAATAATAATCTTCACTTGGCTAAATATTCCAGTAGATGGCACTCTATCCCCAGTACAATGTTGGAAGTTTCACATTGGGATCAGACTTTATTGGGATACAGTTCCTTTTGTAATGGACCATTACAAGATTCTCAAAACACTCACCAGAAACAAGTTGTACATTTTAACCTATGATTTTAACCAGCAATTAATCCTTTACCGGGATCAAACCAGAAATACTGACCCACAAAAAGGTTTAAATACAGTATAAAAATGCCACCTCTTTTTTTTATTTGAGTCGTTGTCATGCACTTAAAGCGTCAACCCTTCCTTAATTTTCCCTCTCAGTTTCTCTCTTTTATCTATCCCCCAGCCTATTTTAATATAATCTGCAACTGTGTAATCTTCATGCACCATTGTCCCACTACCAGCATTTACTGATAAGTCTTCCACAAACTTACTGTTAATGTATATTCACCTTATCTCTTCCCAGTTCCCAGCCCTTGTGGTTCCTGTCAGCTGCCATCCTAAAATACATTAGAATGCTCAGAGAGAGCTCCAAGGCCTGGAGCAAAGGCTCAGAGGCCTACAGCAGCGATCCTGAGGAGGACGAGGAGGACGAAGAGGACATGGTGTTTGGGGAGACTGATCAGGACGTCGTAGGGGAGGAGTTGATGGATCTGAGCGACCTCCCCACGGCGCTCTTTGCATGCAGCGTCCACGAAACCGCGTTCGAAGAGGACATGCACAGGGTGAGATGCAAACACACTTACTGGGTCAAATTGTAGTTGTGTTTTATTTGTGGGTTGGTGCATCAGCTTGTGTGTACATCGGATGAATGTGTCAGCGAGTCCAAGATTCAAAAGCCCAGCAACACATGCATGATGTCATCCACAGCTTTTAGTCCTGTCACAGGGTGTTTCTCAATGTCGAGGACGCTTCCTTGGTAGGACATGTCTTCAGAGTCAGGTCCTTCAGAGGCTAGGCAAGAATCCTTCCTGGCATTCGGAGAACAAAGAATGGAACAGGCTAGCAAGTGTGCAGGTGTGCGTCATATGAGAGGTCCCGCCTTAAATTGAGCACGATTAGTTTGAAGACTCATAACTGATTTGCGAAGATCGAAGATATACCTGAGTTACTGTATTTTGTAAAATGATCATCCCTCCAGGACAGAACCACTAAATTAACATCACCAATCAATAATAAAATGTGTATTTCATTCGATTTTTCATTTCCATCTTTATTTCGAACAGATTTCGAACTAATAAACAATGTGAAAAACAGAATACCGTATTGTTAGAATACAGTATTTATCAATATTCATAATAATATTTATATATTCAACACAAATATTCATAATAATAATAAATCATATGTGCCCAAAAGGCAGCACGAGGAAGCAAATGCTTATAATTCCCACCCCTTACTTACTGCTGATCAATGATTATCCAAATCATTTCTGCAAGTTATTCCTACTTACATATTTACATTTATACATACATTTACAATCATTTCTCATCTTCAATCACCTTTCTTCATTCTCATAGTTTTCCAAAAAAGTGTTTCTGTACATCTTTTCCATTCATATATCATACTTGATGTCTGCAAACCTTTTTTACACATATTGGTGCACATTGTAGCATAAACCACAAATATCAACAAAAGAGGCAAAGTCAAAACAAGGTTCATTTTAATTATTTATTTAGGTGCAAAACGCTCTAAGGTCTCATTCACACTCTGGTGCGCACCAGACGACATTGTTTCATTTTTCACGGGCAAAACGCAAACGGACTATACACTTTAAACACAAGTCATGTGCACAGTTACTACGCCACTGAACATACTTACATTTAAATGTGTACTGCCTGGATTCAGCCATTTTCCGCCAAATATTTTGGAAATTGGTCCGTGTGCAAAGCATTGTGGGGCTTTTAAGACCACCGAGGATACACATGTGCATCCTCGAAATTTCCCGCAACGAAGGACTCAGTCCTCGGTAGAATTCCAAGAATCCTGTACATTGGAACAGTCCCTTCGGCGGGATTCGATGACGTAGCATCCTTGAAATAGTGGCTCTGAAGGATCCTTCCTTGACATTGAGAAACACCCAGTCTCAAGCTGTGCTACTGATGGCACACACACACACACACACACACATACACATACACATACACACATACACATACACACATACACATACACATACACATACACATACACACACAGATACAGTGGGGCAAAAAAGTATTTAGTCAGCCACCAATTGTGCAAGTTCTCCCACTTGAAAAGATGAGAGGCCTGTAATTTTCATCCTAGGTACACTTCAACTATGAGTAGGGATGGGTATCGTTTGAAATTTATCGATTCCGATTTCGATTCCAGTTCTGCTTATCGATTCCCCGTTTCGATTCCAAAATTGTAAAATAAAGAGGTCAAACGTTTAGATAACAAAAATATATTTATTCTTAAAAGTTTTAACTGAAATTGTTACTAAAAAATATACATGCAATACAAATGTATTGCACAATAGCTGTGCTTTATTTTAACTGAGCTATGCCTGTGGCAAGCTATTAACAGGCATTACACTTTGCCTTTTCTTTTTCTTTTTTAGTGTAGTGGAGCCTCACTTCAGAGTGTTTACCGCGACCTATCTTTGGTGTTATGAAGTGACTGAGCTCGTGAAATGTCTACGGGAGGGCATCGCTGCGGGGCAACTGTGGACCTCTGTCGCCTGTCAGCGCAATTTATATGATGCCGTTTAAAAAAATGAAGGGCGGTGCCGGCCGTCAGCGTACCGAGCCGGCCGTCAACGGCCCGCTGACGACCGGCCGTTCTGTGATTCTCCAGGTCCGCTCTGTATTCCACCGGGTCACCGCAGCACCGCGGTGCAGACGGACCCGCTGGAATACAGGGTCTACCGCGTTTAGGAACCGTTAAGCAGAACCGAAATTGTGTATTTTGTATGGGTACCCGGCATTTTCTTATCGGTTCTCATCTGGAACCGAGTTTCGGTTCCCAACCCTAACTGAGAGACAAAATGAGAAAAAGAAAATCCAGAAAATCACATTGTCTGATTTTTAAAGAATTTATTTGCAAATTATGGTGGAAAATAAGTATTTGGTCAATAACAAAAGTTCATCTAAATACTTTGTTATATACCCTTTGTTGACAATGACAGAGGTCAAATGTTTCCTGTAAGTCTTCACAAGGTTTTCACACACTGTTGCTGGTATGTTGGCCCAAAAAGTTCTATTTTGGTTTCATCTGACATTCTCCCAATCCTCTTCTGGATCATCTAAATGCTCTCTAGCAAACTTCAAACGGGCCTGGACATGTACTGGCTTAAGCAGGGGGACATGTCTGGCACTGCAGGATTTGAGTCCCTGGCGGCATAGTGTGTTACTGATGGTAGCCTTTGTTACTTTGGTCCCAGCTCTCTGCAGGTCATTGACTAGGTCCCCCCGTGTGGTTCTGGGATTTTTGCTCACCGTTCTTGTGATCATTTTGACCCCACGGGGTGAGATCTTGCATGGAGCCCCAGATCGAGGGAGATTATCAGTGGTCTTGTATGTCTTCCATTTTCTAATAATTTCTCCCACAGTTGATTTCTTCACACCAAGCTGCTTACCTATTGCAGATTCAGTCTTCCCAGCCTGGTGCAGGTCTACAATTTTGTTTCTGGTGTCCTTTGACAGCTCTTTGGTCTTGGCCATAGTGGAGTTTGGAGTGTGACTGTTTGAGGTTGTGGACAGGTGTCTTTTATACTGATAACGAGTTCAAACAGTTGCCATTAATACAGTTAACAAGTGGAGGACAGAGGAGGCTCTTAAAGAAGAAGTTACAGGTCTGTGAGAGCCAGAAATCTTGTTTGTTTGTAGGTGACCAAATACTTATTTTACAGAGGAATTTACCAATTAATTCATTAAAAATCCTACAATGTGATTTCCTGGATTCTTTCCCCCCATTCTGTCTCTCATAGTTGAAGTGTACCTAGGATGACAATTACAGGCCTCTCTCATCTCTTTAAGTGGGAGAACTTGCACAATTGGTGGCTGACTAAATACGTTTTTGCCCCTCTGTACATACACACACACACACAAACACACAGATACACACACACAGATACATACACACACACACACACACACAGATACATCAACACACACACCATATGCTGTTATGTCTTTGCCAATAAGTATGAATGCAGGGCAGCGGATTACAATATGAATCATGAGTCATAAGCGACCATTACCCGTGTGCCTGTGCATATCATTTGATCATCACCCCAGCAGTGTGTTCTTCATGCCAACTTATAGATGATTATGCAACAGGCTCATACAGACATGTTTCATTTATACCCATGCACACACTTCCATCCATCCATCTTCTCCCGCTTATCCGTGGTCGGGTCGCGGGGGTAGCAGTTCCAGCAGAGAGCCCCAAACTTTCTTTTCCCTGGCGACATAAACCAGCTCTGACTGGGGGATCCCAAGGCGCTCCCAGGCCAGCGAAGAGATATAATCCCTCCACCTGGTCCTAGGTCTACCCCTTGGTCTCTTCCCAGCTGGACGTGCCTGGAACACCTCCCTAGGGAGGCGCCCAGGTGGCATCCTAACTAGGTGCCCGAACCACCTCAACTGGCTCCTTTCGACGCGAAGGAGGAGCGGCTCAACTCCGAGTCCCTCCCTGATGACCGAACTTCTCACCTTATCCCTAAGGGAGACACCAGCCACCCTGCGGAGAAAACCATCTCGGCCGCTTGTATCCGCGATCTCGTTCTTTCGGTCATGACCCATCCTTCATGACCATAGGTGAGGGTAGGAACGAAAATGGCCCGGAAGACCGAGAGCTTTGCCTTCTGGCTCAGCTCTCTTTTCGTCACAACGGTGCGGTAAAGCGACTGCAGTACCGCTCCCGCTGCTCCGATTCTCCGGCCCATCTCACGCTCCATTGTTCCCTCACTCGAGAACAAGACCCCGAGATACTTGAACTCCTTCACTTGGGGTAAGGACTCATTCCCTACTTGGAGTGGACAGTCCATCGGTTTCCTGCTGAGAACCATGGCCTCAGATTTGGAGGTGCTGATCCTCATCCCAGCCGCTTCACACTCGGTTGCGAACCGATCCAGTGAGTGCTGAAGGTCGCAGACCGATGAAGCCATGCACACACTTGCTGTTTATATTCTGTTAAGGCCTTCTGTTAAGTCTTGCTGTCACAGCTTTATCAGACTCCTCAGAGAGGGAATATTATGGATCACTGGATCCTTTTTGCTGGAGGTGGATACAAAGAAAATACTTTTAATTGTCTGCCCCTGTAATCCAATGATGTGGTCCTACCATTCCTCCATCCATCCAGCTGCCATGCCTCCCTCTCTTTAAGTCTCACAGCGTTTCTTTATCTGTCAAGTACATTCAGCTATCTCTCTCTGATGTATATCTCTAAAAGCTATCTTCTCCTCAACATTTCCTCTCCACTTTCTTATCACTTATCAACTTTGTTCTCTTTCCTAAATTATTTTAATATTCCCATCTCTCTCTCCTGGGCATTCTTTATTTATCCTTTCTATGTTTACGCTGAGTGCCTAAATCTGGAGCATACACAAAATCCCTTTAAATGAATCACTCCTCGCTTTGTAAGCTCGCTGTTTGTACACCCATTGCTCCTAGCCATGGAGTCTGCCCCCTCCCATCCATTTCGTTTTGCCTCCTCACTTCATTACAATTCACACTCCGTCTTTTAAGTGGAAATGCCA